TTTCATTGAAAAGGAACTTTTCAGCTTTAAAAAATTTGAATTCAGATCTGACGGATCAGATCTGAATCTGAATCTGACGGATCAGATCCGAATCTGAATCTGAATCCAACGGATTAGATCTGAATCTGAATCTGAATCTGATGGATTTGATCTAATCTGAATCTAAATCTGAATTAGATCTGAATCTGACAGATCCGATACGAATCTGATCCGTCAGATTCGGATTGGATTCGGATCGATCTGAATCCGTGCAGAACACTACGCAGAAAACTTGATCATAAACATGATTCAAAAATTGATCTATATAAAGCAATCATTTAGAATGATCTTTGGCGACTAATGAAAACAGAAGGATGATATACTAAATATTTAATATTTCATGATATTTAAATGTTTTAGAGTATCTTTTTAACTCAACTAATTTTATGACTTTTAATCTTATTAATTTGAAATTCATATACTGTATAATTAATTTTATAAAATCAATTCGATACTCAAAAATAATTTATCGAGATCAAAATTAGTGTATGTCAAAGAGGGACAGGAGGGATGGGAAATTTGACGCAGAAATTTTTACGAGTGTGCTAATCAGCATGTGATGTGATGTAATCGATTTTGTCCAATCAGGAATCAGAATCACATTATCTAATAGAAAACTGGGGCTAAATTAGTGTATTCTACAAATTATTGTTCAATACATATTTTTTACGTGTTATATTTTTACGTGATATTTTATGTGTTATATTTTTATGTATCAATTCGATGTTAGTATTACTGGCAAACTTCTTTCTTTTTCACGGTCTACCAGAACCGTTAAGGATTTTTTAGCATTTTTCATTCAGGGTTTAAAATAGAAATCAAAGTTTATCGACCAAAAGTCCAGAAAGAAAATATTTTACTAGATCTTTATAAAATTGTTAATTATTTATCAATTATGTACTGATATACAAAAAAATTTGCCAGATGAAAATCTAAAACACAAAATTTTTATATTGATTTTATCGATTTTTAAGCCCTGATTTTAGTGTAATTTAAAATTTTTTTTTTAAAAAATTAATTATAAATTTATAATTTTAAAATGACAACCAAAGAAGAAATTAAAGAAGTATTAAAAGATACAAAAGAGAAATTAGGTAAGGTAATAAAGGATTTGAAGGTGTTTGAAGAGGGGAGAATGATGGATTATTGCTAAAGAAGTTGAGAAGAAGGCGAAATGAGTTTAATGAAGAAAACAAAAAGAAGAAGGTAAGGCTAGAGAAAAAGAAGATATGTTGGAGGCAGAGAAGAAGAAGTGGAGAGATCTGTTAGAATATTTTTAACGTTTGTTATTTGAGTCTGGCAAAGAAAAAGGTAATGAACAAATTGCATAAAAAAATATACAAAAAATATTTTCCATTCATTTTATTCGTTTATATATCTTTAATTGTTTCAGTTTTATTTATTTTTACTATTATTTCTTATTTGATATCACGGGAAAAGATGTTGATAAAAATAAAGGTAAATACCATTTGTGGTTTTTTTCTTTGATTATTTATTTTCATTTTAATTAAATATGCAATCTAATTTACCTCTTTCTCACCTAAATCATTTTAACAGAAATGCAAGGGCAATTACTCATCATGATTGAATCAATGAAATGGAAAATGGAAGATTTAGAGTTTCAGGTGAAGAGAGTAAAGATCTCACTTAAAGCCTCAACAAACTCTACACAAGGTATGTAATGACATGTTTACACAATTTTTTTTTTTTGCTTATAAGCTTAAATCAATATTTACTAAAAATTGATAATGAAACGAATATTAGAAGGTCTATTATGACAAATGTGATAAACTTTTCTTTTGCTATCGATATATAAGAATCTATTGACCATATAAGTATATCAAGGCATGCTCACAAAGAACGTTTCTATGATCCTCCTACTTCTAGTGCTGAAAAAGATTATCAAAAATATTTTAGACAACACTATATACCTCTGATAGGTACACTTATGGTTCATGACACATACCTAATTCCCATCCTTGACAGGAGTAAGCTAGACTTTGTTGGAATAGCAAAAGACTTATCACTTGACCCTCTCAATGTCAGCCTGATCATAGAAATAAAACCATATAAACCAAACCAAACAACCTTCTCAAATGCAGATGTTGGACAGTTGGCCTTTTTTGCTTTAAAAATCTTTCAAATTCAACCAACACGTACTTTTGTCTATGGAATTCTTTCTGACTGTCATCATATTATGATATTGAAAGTAGAAAAGACAAAAGAAGAGATTACCTACTATCGTACTGCATATGCAATTCTCAAGTACAATAATTTAGAGTGGCAGTGGTTTATTATACTTCTTTAACAGACTCCAGAAGAATTAGAATGGAGAGAGATAGAAATTTCTTACAATAATAATTCTGATTACATTAAACTTCTAAAATGGCTAGGACATGGAAAAACTGCACAGGTCTTTGAGAGAATTGTTTCAAAGAGACAGCATGTAGATCACAGGATTGCAGTCAAAATTGCACGAAATTCCATGTGTAAAAAGATCAAAAAAGAAGTATATATTCTTATGATATTGAAGAAAATTGATGGTATTCCAAATGTGCTTTACTCTAATGAGAATTCTTTTGTCATGAAGCCTCTCTGTTATAAAATATATAGTTTTAATAAATTAGATTTAGATAGAATAATTAACATTATACAAAATATTCATACACAAGGTATTGTGTATTGGAATCTTCATAGGCATAATATTCTCAGAGATAGGAATACTGGGACTGTTCAAGTTATAAATTGGAGATATGTTATAAATATTAACCTTTCATTATCATTTGCTAGTAGACTTGACTGTATATCAGATTTAGTATTAAAATCAATGAGGGATAGAAGGGAGATTATTTATCAGAAATCAAATGATTTGATTAGTCTATTGAGAAGTTTTTACTTGGTTTTACATGAACAGGTTGATTCAGTTGCACTTCCTTTAGCAAATACAAATAATCAAGATTATGCTAGTAAAATGTTAGATTTTTGAAAAATGTATGAAAAATCTAACTTATGGAAGGAGCTATTTGAACTTGCTAGAAATTGTAATTATGAAGGGTTAAAGGTTAAGATTGGTAAATTATATTAAAGTTATAATAATCTATTAATAATTAATAATATAAAAAGAAAAACTAAATTTATAATGTTTTAGAATTTTTTTTGCAAATTAATTAACAAATTATATATTTTTATCAAATAATTTATTACTTTTTTAAAAATTTAATTACTTTTAATAGATTATAAAATTATAATTTTAGTAGGAGAAAATAGATATAATGTGAATTTTCTATTGATAATTTTTCAAACAAATTTATTAAAAAGATCTTTCTTTTAAAATTTTTATTTTCAATAATTGGTTAATAATAAATAATTTAAGTAATAAGATATAAAAAGAATACTAATAAAATGTATTGCTTATTTTGTATTATGAAAAAATCTAAGATGAAAGAAATTTTATTTTCTTTTGATAATTATATCATTTGCATAAATTTTGAATGTACATATAAAAATAAATATAGTATTAATACAAAATTATATATAATAATAAGTATATATAAAAAATAATGATAAGTATAATAGTTTTAATGAATATTAAAAGTAATTGATCTTTTAAAAAAAGGTTATAATTGTGATTATTCTTTATGAATTTCCAAGAAAAATTTTGCAAAATTAAGTCTTTTTAAGTTTTTTTTTAAATTAAACAAGATATATTTTTAATAATCTAACTTAAGATAATAAATAGTAAAATAATAAGTACTAGTAAATACTTTAAAAAGAAAACTAAAAATTAATAAAAAACTTTTTACCATTAGAATTTTTATCAAGAAATTTACCTTAATATATTAAGAATTAACAAAAATTATTTTTAAAATATTAGAAATCATCTAATAAAAAATTGTTTTTTACTAAAAATTTTAGAAGAATATCTCAAAAAAAAAAACTAAAATAATGATTGATAATAATGTTAAATAGTAGTAAAAGTAATAAAAAATTTTTTAGAAAATTATGCAAAAATTTATAGATTATTAAATTCAAAAAAAAATATTAATAGAATACCTAATCAATTATATTTTTACTAACTAAAATAAGTTACAAATTAGTTTACAGAAATTTTCTTATAAGTTTAGAAAAAAATAATTAAAATCTTTAGAATATGATATTTTTAGAAAATTGTGATATTAATTGATATCAGAAATTCAAATTATAAGTTCAGAAATTAACTTATATAATACTTATCAATATTTTAAAAATAGTTTATATTATAATATTTATTAAGAAAAAAAAGCTAAAGATTTGCTTAAAAGATTTAAAAAATATTTATCTAAAAAAGAAATTATTATAATAAAAATACTAAATTAGTAAAAACAAAGAAAATTAATTAATTAAAATTATTCAAAAGCAAAATTTAGTATTATAGTATTGATACTATTACTTATTATAGTTATGATTAAATTCAAAATATTTATATATTCTCATTTATATTAATAAATAATAAAATCTATTACTTTAGTTTACGTAAAGTTTAATTAGTTGAAATATCTCATGATCAATAATAAGTTACTATAATTAATTATAAAAATCATTTTTTATTATATTGAATTTTCACTTCCTATTATAATAAAGTAACTATAATTATATAATATTTATATTTAAAATAACACAAGGTTTAAAATCTATATTCATTCATTTTTTTTTACTAATATATTCTTAAAAAGAATCTCTTATTTAAAGAATTATATTTTATATTTAACTTCTACCTTTAAAATTATATAATGAAAAAAACATAATTTTAATAATAATAATGAATTTTTAATAATATACCTTACAATAATAAAAATGATTTTATATTTAATCAAGAAAGTTATTTTCAAGCAATTAATTTTTTGGTAAAAAAAGAATATATTAATTATATTATTCAATTAAGTGATATTAAAAATAAGAAAATAATAAAAAAAGAATATTGAACAAATGAAAAGTATATACAGTTAAATCTCTATAAATGCACTTCTCTTAGGACTAGAAAAAAGTGTGCATTTATAAAGGATATGCATTTATAGAAAAATATAGATTTTATATTACAAAGTATAAAAATAATTTATTATTAAAGTAACAAGTTAATCTTTATTATATTTATATTTATTGTATATATAATATAATTTTTTATTCTTTATTCAATAAAACAGTTATTAATTAAAGTATTAGTTTATAGTAGTTTGTATCTGTTTTCTTCTAATAAATTTTTCAATTGTATTTACTGATTTTATATACTCATTCACATTTTCTTGCTGAAGTAAATATATATTTACAGTTTTTAAACTCTTTAATGCTACATTAGCACTAATAGTTTTCACCTCAACACTATTATTTATTTCATTTTCATCTAAATCATCACCAGATTTTTTCTTAAAAATTTTTACAAGGTCTATAATAATTTGATTATTTTTAAAAATTTTACAAATAATATTTTCTTCAAAAATATCGAAAAATTCTTTTGCATTTATTGAATTAGGAAGATTAAAAATTTCAAGCATTTTAAAAATTTAATTAAGCATTAAATCATCATTAAGTTCATCATCGGGTTCAGCTTCAGGCTCAACATCAGATTTAGCATTAGATTTAGCATTAATATCATCAACATCATCAGGAAGAATTTTAGTATGATGCTAACAATTACGAATTATTTTAGCTGTAACCTCTTTTCAGCTTTCAATTATATATTAAATGGCTTGTAAGACACTTAACTTTAAATTTTATATAAATTTACCAGCTTCAATTTGTTCTAATATCTAACTAAAATAAAAAAATAAATTAATAAAAATAAATGATATTTAATTAAATGCTATTTAAATAAAATTATTTAAATAAATATAAATAATAAAATACTAAATAAATACTATAAATTAATATATGCATTATTTATTAAATTTTAAACTTACTGAATATGATAAAAATGATAATGCTTCTTAAATAACATAATAATTCTAGAATCCATTAGTTGAATCTTTAAAGTGGTATTTGAAGGTAAAAAATGAATATCTACATTTATAAGATTTAAGCATTCTATCTTATGACTTGAACAATTATTAAGAAATAATAAAACACATTGACCTTTATGTTTCTGACCAACTTAATGATCAAAATTCTGAAGCCAATCTTGAAAAAATATTGTTAATATCTAAACCTTAGAATTATTATGATATGTCATCGATAAATTATGAATATTAATATTCTTGAAATACCTTAGATTTTCATATTTCCTAATTATTAATGGAAACAGCTTATGTGATCTATTAGCATTTGCATATAAAGCTACAGATAGATGTTCTTTATTTTTTTTACATCTGAAAAGATGTCTAATAGCTAATGTTCGATTAGGCTCAAATCTATAAAAAAGATATATAATATTAGTGATTTATTTACATAATATTAATTATATATTATTTAATAGATAATACTTGTTTAATAAATTGAAAGGTTATATATACTGATAAAAAAGCCCTGTTTAATTTATATTATAAATTCTTTTATGAGAATAATCAAAATACTTTACATATAATACTAGTAGAGCTTTAAGAATAGCAATTTAGTCAGCAATCCTGCTTCTTCTTGAAATTTTTGTTGCTGAATTCTATTATATTTCTTAAATCCTTAAAGTCATTCAAAAAAAAATTGCAAACCATTTTCAGAAATTCCTAACCTATCTGCTAATAACTTAGCTTTTTTAATTAATATTACATCACTTAAAATTGTTCAATGTTAATAGTTCAATACAAATTCTTTAAGAGCAAGTTTAAGTTCTAGAAATATTACAGATTTATGATATTTTTTTCTAGATAAATAATATCAGTAAAAAGTCATTTTCTTTAGTTTGTAAAATTTGCGTTATTATAGTTTAATTAACTATAATATCCCATCTTTCTTTAATCTATTCTACATATTAAACTCAGGTTTTTTATTATTATTAGCATATAAGCAAAATTCATACTTCTGGGCATCTGTTAAAGTAACCTTTTTTTAGGAGGTATGCTTAAGAAAGTTAAAAAATTCTCACAGTAACGTAAGCATAAGCAAATCGCAAGATCTACAGTACATTACATTTTATAAGACGTATTCTTGATTATTTACCTAGAAATCTACATACTAATTTATTAATTTTAGTCTAAAATGATAACTTAAAATTATGCAGAATCACGTGAATGCATTTAGATAGAATTTTTAATATATGATAGGTCAAAAAATCATTGCACAATATAAATAGTAAAAGGTGCATTTAGCAATAATTCCCTAACTTAAAACTAAGTCTTAGAATATATTTAGAGAAGGTATGTATTTATAGGTGATGCATTTATAGAGAATTGACTTTGCAAATTATCCCTTAAAGCATAGGTATAAATTGATTATAAATCATTTTAGAAAAATTATAATATTTTAATATCTAGTGATTATAAAAAAATGAAATAAAATTTATTAGATTTATTATATTAAGATCTATCTAATAATAATATTTTTAAATTTTTAAAATTAATAATTATTAATATATATTAATTTTTCAATTTTTCAATTTTTTAAAATAAT